GCCTCTCCCGACTCCAACCAGGCCCGTCATCCTAGATAGCGTTGCTCCTTTTTCTTTGCCTGAGTTAACCAAACTTGTTAACTCTATGAAGACCTCAGCATGCCCCCTCGACATCTTACCTTCCTTGTTGTTTAAAAGTGCTTTTCAGTCCATCGGTCCCAGCGTGCTCTCTATAGTTAATGCTTCTCTGGTCTCTGGTCAGGTCCCTGCTTACTTTAAGAACACTGTAATCCACCCGCTTCTTAAAAAAACAAGTCTTGACCCCTCTCTTCATAACAGCTTCAGACCCATCTCTAAACTTCCGTTCATCTCCAAGATCTTGGAAAAGGTTGTGGCTAAACAACTCACAGCTGCTCTTGATGAACATAACATCTGTGATAGCTTCCAGTCAGGTTTTCATAGAGCTCATTCTACTGAAACAGCTCTTCTTAGGGTCTCTATTGACCTTCTGACTCACAGTGATGCAAGGCACTGTTCTGTTCTGGTCCTGCTGGACCTGACTGCAGCCTTTGACACTGTTGACCATCACCTGCTACTGGAGAGGCTCAGAGACTGGGTAGGCCTATCAGGATCTGCTCTGGAGTGGTTCTCCTCTTATCTCTCTGAGCGCTCCTTTTCTGTGGCCGTCTCCAAGTTTAGGTCCTCCACCACCTCTCTTACCCATGGTGTCCCACAAGGTTCTGTTCTGGGGCCTCTGCTCTTCCTCCTCTATCTGCTTCCTCTTCAGCACATCCTGGGCTCCTTCAAAGGAATCTCCTACCATCTTTATGCAGATGACATCCAACTGTACATCTCCTTTAAGCCCCATGAGATGTCTAAGCTGCAGCTGTTACACACCTGCTTAGACTCTATCAAAACCTGTATGGCTGGGAGCTTTCTACAGCTGAATGAAGATAGGAATGAGATCCTCATCTGTGCCCCAGACAAGCTGGTTCCCAAAGTCAGAGACTCTCTTGGTCAGCTTGCTTCCCACACCAAACCTTCTGTCAGGAATCTTGGTGTGACCTTTGACCCAGCTCTCACCCTGGATTCTCATGTCAGTTCTCTTGTTCGCTCTTCCTTCTTCCATTTCAGGAACATTGCTAAGCTGAGTCCCATTCTGTCCCGCTCTGAACTTGAGACAGTTCTCCACACCTTCATCTCCTCATGCTTAGACTACTGTAACTCTCTTCTCACGTGTCTGAGCAGAACCTCCCTGAACCGTCTACAGGTGGTTCAGAATGCCTGTGCTCGGCTTCTGACCAAGTCCTCCAAACACACCCACATCACCCCGCTTCTCCTCCAGCTTCACTGGCTGCCAGTCAACTTCAGGGTTAATTTCAAGATCCTGGTTCTGGTCTATAGGGCCTTACATGGACAAGCGCCATCTTACATTGGTGATCTTCTTAGTCCCTACACCCCCAGCAGGTCCCTGAGGTCCAGTGATCAAAGCCTACTGGTTGTGCAGCGCACCAAGTTAAAGACCAAAGGTGACAGATCATTTGCTGCTGTGGCCCCCAGACTCTGGAACTCTCTCCCCCTGAGCCTGAGATCAGTGGACTCAGTGGACTCCTTTAAAAGGCAGCTGAAGGCTCACTTGTTCAAGCTGGCTTTTGTATGGCCTTCTTCACCACTCTCTCTTTATTCTGCTCTCCCCACCTATTCCACCTTCCTCAGGATCCACTGATTTCCCTCTTTCCTCTTCACCCTCTCTCTCTTTATTAACAGTTTTATCACAATTGACTATTTTTGCTCATTTTAATATATTTTAAACATTTTCTAAATGCTTTTTTATATTTTTACAATTTTTGTTTTTGTGAGGCGCCTCGTGATTTTTATCTTGAGAGACGCTATAGAAATGATATTATTTTCTTCTTCTTCTTCTTCTTCTTCTTCTTCTTCTTCTTGGTTGGTTGGTTGGTTGGTTGGTCTATTGGTCAGTTGCTTGATTGGTCTATCAGTTGGTTGGTTGGTCTGTTGATTGGTTGGTCTATTGGTCGGCTGGTTGATTGGTCTATTAGTTAGTCAGTTGGTTGGTTGGTTGGTCTATTGGTCTTTTGGCTGGTTTATTAGTTGGTCATTTAGTTGGTCTTTTTTAATTTATTTTAATTTATTTTGGTCATTTAAAAGGAAAAAGAAAGAACACAGTAATACAGAATCTCAATTATAGTAACCAAAAAGGTGTAGGCTGAAGCCTAGCTTTTTATGCCTACCCTATTTACTCAATCACGTTACTTCTCAAAAAAAAAGAAATGACAATAATAAGATAATAGTAATGTAATAATAAAAATGAGAGTGAGATAAAAATAATAATTATGATAATAATAATTGAAATATATTGAGCAACAACAACCATAATTCAGCAAGAGGAAAAATACCCAGAACTAAAGACAGAACTATACAAAACTACCAGTAATTTTAATAAGCCAATGTATGATAATGATCAAAACAGAGATTTAAATACTATAACTTGTGCAAGAACATTACATTTTCATTCTCATCTATCAGAAACACTAGCTCACATACGGTCATTATGGTAGTATGACATCATCTTCTTGACATGCAATTTTTTTTAAATGATTTAACAGTTTTACATGCCCTGATTCCAGTGTCCAAGTTATTCCATAATTTGACTCTTACTGTTGTGCAACTCTGACTTCTAACATTTGCTCTTACTTTCTCTCTGGCAAATTGTCCTTCACCCCTTAGTTCATACTGAGTTTCTTTGACCTGGAATAGCTTCTGAATACAATCTGGAAATATTTTATTTTGTACTTTATCGAGTACCTGTGCTGTTTGTAGTTTGACCAGATCTGTAAATTTAAGTATTTTTAGTTTTATAAACAGGGGGTGCATTGGTGCATGGTGATCAGAGTTGGTAATTACTCTTATTGCTCTTTTCTGTAGTCAAACTATGGGTTTTATGCTGGTTGGTTTATTGGTTGCTTGGTTAAATCCAATCAGATCAGGTCAGGCTCCTTCTAACCTACTACCTAAGACCTTTTTACTCCTTAATATGATGTCTGAACATAACAATTCAAGCTGAAAAGGCTAATTAAACCTATAGATCTTCTGAATGCACAAAACACCTAATATTACTTCATAAATAAAATGCAGAAAAGAGGGGGCATGTGTCACAATCTGCCTTGCAGGCATTTATTCAACAAATATTATTTTAGTTTGGAAGCTGTAAACAAGTTGTCAGTTATTCTTTTTCACAAGATGAATCAGTCTGATCATAAAGTTCTTTCTTGTAAAAATTACTCTGTAATTCCAAACAAACAAACAAACAAACAAACAAACAAACAAACAAACAAACAAACAAACACAAAACAAGTAAATTACGTTTAAACTGAACATTGTCATGTAGCATATTAGCAAAACCTGTAAAAAACTGAAGAATGAACAAAGACAGTTTCCCTTTGCTGTCATATTCACTTCAAAATGTCATTTAAGTGTTTTTGTGGTTTCTGCTCCACAGGCAGATGTGTTTTAGCACATGGACGACAGTGAGCTACAATTAAATCACCAGAAATCAACGCAACATTCTACACAATAGTAGATTCTGCAGGCCAAACCTCACAATAGACCCAATTACCCAAAGTTTGGTTTTGTTATAACTAAATTTACTAAATATTTTGAACGGAGCCTCTATTTCTCTCTAAAAGTGAATGTAGGGCACCATATTTTAAAATGTGTCTGCAGAGCTGCTGATTGTCAGTTTTCAGTTACTCCAAAAGCCTCAGACATAAGTGACCCCTGTTGGAGATATATCTGAATAACAAGAAGAAATAATTTACTCAGCAACTATCTGAAAGAAATATGTTACTTTGAGTTATGAAGTTTAAGTTTAATTTCATTTAGGTTTAAAAAACAAATGTAAACTCAGAGACGAAAAGGACAAAAATATCAACAACCATGTTTTCAATGTTTTGCTGGTCACGAAAAACTTCAATATCAACTTTTAGATTTGGTCAGGCCTTGTCTGAAACGTCTGTTGAAGGGATAACCAAGAAGAAGCTCCACTTTAGCTCAAAACCACACATCCTTCAAATAGTCTACAAAGCTAAGCCACAACTATGTCTACATGGTCATAGCAAAATGCATGTTTCCCCTAATGTTTTATGCTGAAATTGAGTGAAGACTAAAACAGAGCACACTGGAAACTGATGTGCATAAAAATAACAAAGAAAAAAAAAACATTCAGACTGTTGTTGGTTCCCAAGACCTTGAAGTTAGTAATTGAATTTTTAAAAAGCGCTTTAAAGACTTGTCAAGAAAATGTGTGGTCAATGATTTTGTATACGTCTTGTGTGGTTTTTATAATAAAGAATTTATGATGTATTATTGAAGTATGATAACAAATATAACTTGTTTCAAGCAAAAATAGGTAGAAGAAATTATGATATTGATAAAAATCTAAATACAAGTTTATTGGAAATGAAAAATTATTGGCTGCTTAGAACTGTGTTTTTATTCAAACTCCCAGTAGCAGAAGGCTGCTCACTGAGCAAAGGGAGTTTTTCTCTTCACTGTCGCTACATGCTTGCTTAAATGAGGGATTGCTGTAAAGTCACAGACACAAGAAGTCAGCGACTCCATGCAATCTGCTACTTTTCCTTAGATTAAACACTTTGAACTAACCGGAATAATGAACCGAAATCTGGAGTGTTTTATGTGCTGTTTCAAATCTATTGTGGGTTTTATAAGATAATAAGTATAATTAAAAATGAATAATTTACATAGTATTAAGTCTCATCACTATTGCTTTTATAGTTTTGAAATTTCTGATTGTCCAATAATTTAATTAATACATCTTAATTCATTGAAAATATAATCCTAGCACCACTTAACTCACCGCTTAGAACATTATAATTTTTCAGTTGGTTATTTATTTAATTACAGTATAGTTATGAATATTATTTAGGATTTTTTTTTAATCTGGACTGTTAAAAAGAAGTTCAAGCATGTTTGGAACCGGGGGAAGCCCGGAACTCTCTATGCGGAACTACGATTTGTAGCCGATGTTTTAGACGGGTTTATACAATACGAGAACATTTCTCTGTTTATACTTCAGCGTGGGTTTTGGAGCTCATTAAACAGGCAAGAAAGACATTTTGGATCAGAAATACATTCATATTCGTTAATGTTTGTTTGACGTTTGTGTCAAAATGAGTAAAAAGCGTCGTAGCAACGCTTTGCTAGAGTCCGACGCTCCGGCGCGTAAAGAAAAAGTGCCGGAGTTCAATGGAACCGAGTTTA